CCTATCTCCCCCCTCCTCTACCTTTCTCCCCCCTCTCTCTACCTAACTCCCCCCCCCTTAAACCTATCTCCGGATCTATCTAGTAGGATGAACAGGGCAAAGGGTTTGAATCCTGCAAACTTTTATCCCAGAAAACTTCAGCAAATAGTATTCTTACTTGTAATATTCGTTCCACATGCAAACCATCCTTTTACATATATTCCATTTATTTCCATCCTTCCAGCTCCATTCCATTCATTTCCATGTATTCTATTCATTTCAATTTATTCCATCCATTCTTTTCATTTCCATCTATTCTATTCATTTCAATTCATTCCATCCATTCTATTCATTTTAAATCATTCCATCCATTCTATTCGTTTCCATCGTTTTAATCCATTCTATTCATTTCAATTCATTCAGAACTATTCTATTCATTTCCATACTTTCAGATCCATTCTATTCATTTCCATCCATGGAGATCCATTCTTTATATTTCCATCCTTTCAGATCCATTCTATTAATGTACATCCATTCGGATTCATTCAATCCTTTCAGATCTATTCTATTCATTTCCATTCATTCAGATCTATTATATATATTTCCATCCTTTCAGATCCATCTTGATCATTCATTAAACAGAATCATTCAATTCATTTCTGTTTAGTCCTATTCTATTCGTTTTAAAACAGAATCACTCAATTCATTTCTATTTAATCCCATTCTATTCGTTTTAAACAGAATCATTCAATTCGTATCTTTTTAATCCCATTCTGTTCGTTTTTAAACACAATAATTCAGTTCATTTCTGTTTGTTTTCAAACAGAATCATTCAGTTCATTTCTGTTTAATTTCATTCTATTCGTTTTAAATAGAATCATTCAGTTAATTTCGGTTTTGTTCCATTCTATTCATTTTAAACAGAATCATTCAGTTCATTTCTATTTATTCCATTCTATTCGTTTTTAAACAGAATCATTAAGCTCATTTCTGTTTAGTTCCACTATATTCATTTAAACAGAATCATTCAGTTCATTTCTGTTTATTCCATTCTATCAATTTTAAACAGAATCATTGAGTTCATTTCTGTTTATTCCATTCTATTCGTTTTTAAACAGAATCATTAAGCTCATTTCTGTTAAGTTCCACTAAACAGAATCATTCAATTCATTTCTGTTTAATTGCATTCTATTCATTTTAAACAGAATCATTCAGTTCTTTTTTACTTATTTATTTTTAATTATTTTTGATAAAATATCGTTAAATGCAAATTAAGTTATGAAAGACGTAGATATGAATTAGCAGTTGTATTAAGAGTTAGAATGCTTGTGTTCTTAAATCTGGGTATTGTAACTGTGTAGAATATGATTGATGACGGGTTGACCGGATAAACCTTTAAGACCTATAGATCTCATTTTGTCCTGGGTTTAGCAACGTAGAGTGTCAATGACATGTTAATTAGAAAGGGGCAGCGTAGAGAAATCGTTAACAATATTTTTAAACCACGTAGAGGTTAATTAACAATGATATTTATAGTTGAACCGCGTATAACTATATCCGGAGGTTTAGGGTTGAACTAGTGACTAGGATCTCCAAGGATGAAATACTAAAGTGAGGTGGGGAATCTCCGTACCCCCAGTACTATCGGAGCTGTGTAGGAGAGAGGAAAACCATCCTAAACCCCCTCCTCCGACTCCTGGTGAACCTGGCGGTAATTATTTCATACTTACTCCGGTAAATACTTGTCTCAATCCGTCCCGTCCTCTCCAGGGTTCGGTCAACAGAGATTTATTCTCCGGAGATATAGAAACCCTGACAACCAGATACAACCCTTCATATACACCTGGATATCATAGATTTTACCCGTTTGACCTAAAATTAATTCGAGAACATACTAACAATACTTTTCCCTATATATTCATTAGTACCTAGATATACATTGATATATTGATGGCTCTCCTACAGTATACATTCCAATGCAAAAATGCCGGATTGTCAAAGTTACTTATCGTTGAAACAAAATTCAAAAAATTAGTTAATATAATTAATTAATTGTTCGAATATTGGAACTGGAAGGGGGGGGGGGTGGGGGGTTGAATTGCAAACTTCTCATTACTCCGCAACCGTGCTCCAGAATCTGTTCATAACTTTAACAAGAGAGCCTACAATTCTACTCAAATACAAACTTAACCCTCAATAATAGACAGAACATTGTGTACCAGGGTAAACCACATCGTTTATTCAAGTAAAGGAATTGAGTCTTTGTCTCAAACCATGATTTTCTAATCTCTATATCCTTGCAACCCAATGCCGTAGACCTTAGATATTTCAAACTATGAATTCTGATGAAAAAATCTAAGTTTGAAATATCAAAGGTTTACACCATCATCAGGTGGAAAATATATAAGTATTAGAAAATCAGAGTTTGTTACAAAGACTCAATTCCTTCATTTTAATTTTCAAAAAAGTGAATACATCAACTGACAAGAAAACTTTGTCGAAATCTAAGATTAAAAAATGTTCAAAAAGAAAATAAAAAAGTTTACAGAAGGATTTTAAAAAATCTTTCATATATTTTTCCCTTTTTACAGTAAAAATTTTTTTAAATAGCGTTTAATCTTATATGCAGAACAAAATATAGTTTCTTCAAGTTCAGTCTTAGATTAGAAAAGAGAAAAAGAGTTAATATTTTCTCAAAAAAAAACAGTATCAAATATTTACGGTGATTTTTAAGATTTAAGAAATATACGTGGATTTTTAAAAAATGAATTTTTCCCGGATTTTCCAAGAAATATTAGAAGCTCCTCCTGTGTACTCTCTTGCATGTTCCTATTCAAGCATTTTCTAAAATTTTATTAAATTTGAGGTTTTGATGCTTGGCAGAGGAAAGTATTTGAACTAAACTAATAATTAAATCCCCCCCCCCCCTCAACTATCTATCTACCCATCTAATTACCTCCTCCCCCTTCTCCAGATCAAGATTAAAGCAATGTATTTAATTGTTCCAGTTTTTGTATTTTACGCCATGCAAACCAGTGCTTCAAGCAGTTTAGTAATCTTCATCAAGCTCTACAATTATACCTGTAATAAAACAATCCAATATGGCAGCCTACAGGATCAATGCCGCAACCCAAAATGAACATTGGTTTACTTTTTATGATCAATCAAAACAAGGTTTATCACAGTTTAATCCCACTCAAATCTTGAAGAGAAAATTCAGTGGTCAAAACTTTAAAATCGATATTTGCATACGTGGTTCAGTCTGTAACCTGAAGGCGGTTTAATTATTTTTTTGGACACAGCCACCCATTTCTTAATTATTTCTCGATAGATTTGCCGAAATTATACTTAAATCTTTGAGTTTAAAAGTTTACGATGCGGATATCCATGTGACTAAGCGCTATTCCAACCAAAAGTTTTATCCTCAGGATGGTTCGTTTTCTTACTTGATATTGTATTGTATTAGCTTGAGGTAAATTATCCAATGTGATTAATATTTGATGAGAGAAACCTAATCTTAAACCAATCCTTACATAATCATCTTTGGTGGGGGGGGGGACATTTTTATTTTCTGACTATCATGATTTTAAAGAGATAAAAATAGTTTGACTTTGATGAAACATGTTTTTAAACCCTAAAAAAAGGATTAAAAGGAGAAACTACATATACATGATACATAGGATACATCCCCTTCTCCCCATTCGTGGATACAGGGATACATCCCTCTTCTTGGATACAGGGATACATTACCCTTCTTGGATACAGGGATACATTACCCTTTCCAGGATGCAGAGGGATACATCCCCCTTTCCAGGATACAGGGATACATCCCGCTTCTTGCATACAGGAATACAAATCCCCTTTCTAGGATACAGGATACACCTTCCTTTCCAAGATACAGGGATACATCCCGTCTCTCCAGGATACAGATATACATCCCCCCTTTCCAGGATACAAGGATACATCTCTTCTTGGATACAGGAATACATATCCCTCCTCAGATACAGGATTGTATCTCATCTTTCCAGGATACAGGATAATATTTCCCCTTTCCAGGACACAGGGATACATCCTGCCTTTCCAGGATACAGGGATACATCCTGTCTTTCCAGGATACAGGGATACATCCTGTCTTTCCAGGACACAGGGATAAATCCTGTCTTTCCAGGACACAGGGGATACATCCTGTCTTTCCAGGATACAGGAATACAACTCCCCTCTCCAGGATAAAGGGATACAACTCCCCTTTCAGGATAAAGGGATACATTCCCCCTCTCAGGATACGGCTAAATATAAAAATATCGAGATTTCGGATAAAATTTTGCTCTTCTGAACCCTTGGTTTGGTTGATGGAAAGATATATAAATACAATGTATTCTCTTCTCTATGTTTTATTTAGTAGTTTATATCGGAGAAATATACTTACACATCCTGTACTCATCTCAATCCTTTAATAGATTTTAAAACATTTCAACCTACAACTGTCTTAGCTATCTGTCAATCTATCTGTCGGTTTATCTGTCTGATCTATACATAACCCCCCTCCTCATCCCGTGTTTGTATATATTAAAATGTATATATTCGCAAATACTGTTTAATTTTAGAACCATGAATAATTATTCTCAAATCAAGGGAGAGGAGGCGAATGGGGGAAGGGAGATAGGGATAGAATTGGGGAAGATATTGGGGAGGGGGAAGGAAGGGATGACGAGTAGAGAAGGACAAGTATAGGAGAAAAGAATCAATATCAGAAGGAAGGGGCTAAGTTTATAAAGCGGAAGGTTGAAGTAAAGAATAGCGAGGGGAAGGTTAGGGTAGAGAATATAGAAGTGAAGGTTAGAGTAAAGAATAGAGAGGGGAAGGTTAGGGTAGAGAATATAGAAGTGAAGGTTAGAGTAAAGAATAGAGAGGGGAAGGTTAGAGTAAGGAATAAAGTAAATAAAGACAGAAAAAGTATAAAAATGAAATGTAAAAGAGAAGAAGTATAAAGAAGTGAATGTGTGTAGAATATACTGCAGTGGGAGAACCTGGGTATTTTATAATTGTGTACATTTAGACGAGAAAGGGTTAAAGTTCCTAAACATTGGATTTTGCAAACTTTAAATATTTTGCTATTTCATTTTGCTACGAGAGTTTTATAATTTGAATTGTCGACTGATTGGCAGATTTCCCCGAGAAAGAATTCCAATATCTTTAAAACAAACTCGACAAATCCAATAATTTCTATTCTTCTGATTGAAAGAATAATTTATTCTGTTCCCTGGGTTTGCGCATTTTATAATACTTTGATTCTACAAAATGGCTGAATCAAGGGGGGAGGAGGGAATTGCTTTGCAAGCACAACGCAGTATTTTAATGACAATTATTTTCAGGTTTTATTTTGCAAAAACACGGTAGAATTTGAGATTTACGATGATAAAACGGAAAATAACAAAAACAATTGTTCATGAATCATTGTTTTGTTGCACCCTTCAAACTGACTTGAATTAAAACGTCCTCCATCTTGGATTTAAATATGGCCGCGATATACTCAAAACTTTTTCTTTCAAGATGGTGTAAACTTTGAAATTATATTAAGTAATTAGTAAAATTGAATGAGTACGGGTTCAAAATTAAAAGTTGAGGTGCGAATATGAAAAGACAGAAACATTCTTTAGAAAAAGAATGTTTTAAAAAGTAGGCAGGGGGAGTGGGGGGAGGAGGAGGGAGAGAGAAGGAGAAGGAATAGTTTTTGAACAAATTATTTTATACAATTTTCATGTTTTATTTCTCTAATGAGCTGAAGACATTTAAGTATTTGTAAGATCAAGACTGAATAAGATATCCTATTTTTTCTATGTGAAAATTTATTTCATTCTGGTTTCTCTGTGACTTGCGGATTTATAGCAGCCAAGAAAATGGGCGGAAATTGTCAGAACAGAATTTCAAGGGTACCATATAAATACTTTAAAAGATTAATATAAATACTAACTTTATCATGTTTGCAGATGTGAATACAGAACCTTGAGTTTAAACTGGAGAAAAGTTCCAAATTTTGACGCAAGATGGAGACACTGGCGATAGCTGATCATAAATACAACCTACGGTGGCCGGACTACCATGACACCATCCTTTCAACTTTTAGGTAACGAAAAAATAGGAAACATTTATAAAATTGTGCGAAAAATAAGAAAAAAGGCTTTTAATGGTGGTTTATAAGATTTTTTTAAATAGGTACTGCAGACAAGAAATTAAAATGCCGTTGGTTGCAAGAAAATTTTAAATTTAGAAAAAGTCCAATATATTTTCAACTTTTTAATTTCTTGAATGATGGCGTGTATCTGAAATGATAAATGTTTGAGTCGGATTAATAAATGTTTGCCTTTCGTTAGCAAGGTTTACTCTTCTGCTATAATGAAACGGTTTTTGCATCAGGAGCAACATTTACAGGCTAATCCCCTCAAAACACTAACAATATTTGGGGCTGTACAGGGTGTCCCAATAAACATGGGAATTATTTTATCGATCCATGTGACATTTTTCCATGAACACAATTATTGCAGTGTTCCAGTTTACACATCTAATATTGAAAACGTCTGGTCTTGAGATTTTCAAAATGAGGTCTACCATTTTTGTATCTTCAAAATTGACGGAAATATTGCAAATAATTTGTACAAATTTAAATTTATTTAATAAATCAAAATTGTCTTAATATCTCTCAATTCCCATGTTTATTTGGACACCCTGTATAACAGAGGTCGAAACTTTTAAATTGTAATCTCTTCAAAAAGCATTTATCCTTATTTTGTCTAGTCCGATGGATTAAGTTAATTCCTCCAGAATTCTGTAAAGATCCGACTATTTATAAAAAAAAGATGTTTTAGATATAAAGATTTTATGGACATAGAAGTCAATGACTAAAAAACTTTTACTCTGTTTTTGGTTTAAATGCAAACTTACACTTTATTTCTAAACATTGTCGTTGTAATACAGGAAATACAGTAAATACTGGAAATACAGGAAATACAGTAAATACAGGAAATACAGTAAATACAGTAAATACAGTAAATAAAGTAAATACAGTAAATACAGGAAATACAGGAAATACAGTACATACAGGAAATACAGTAAATACAGGAATTTCAGTGCGTTCCACTGAATAATGCAAATGCAGAATAAAAATCTTAAAATGGTTTTTGTGATTAGAAAGGTTAAAGGAATTTAGTTTTCCCCACATACTCTGATATTTTAATATCTCTAGCTTTGTAACCCAATGTCACAGACCTTAGATATTCCAAACTATAAACTCTGTTAGATCATGTAATCTAAGTTTGAAATATCAAAGGTTTACACCGCCAGTTTGCAAAGATAAAGAGACTGGAATATTCAAGTTTGTGGCAAAGACTCAACTCCTTTAGATAAAAGTGTAAAATTAAAATTAAGCATTTGCATCATAAAAGTCCTTAAATCTTTGAAAATAGTATTTATCCCTGCATGTATGTATATCTGTTAATGACTTATATTAAAACAAACTAAGGGGTTGGATTTGATAAATAGAGAAAAGTGGATGAACTATGTATGAAAAGTGGATGAACTATGTATGAAAAGTGGATGAACTATGTATGGCTGATTGAACTAATTCTAACTTTTTGATAACTCCGTGGCCGAACTTAAAGAATTTAAGCGCCGGTTAAAATCTAAGCCGCGGTTTAGATATGATTGGTTCCACTTAAAATTGTATCAAATGTTTCAAGATTAAAGCCGGCGCTAAATTTAAACCGGGTTTTGGCGGATTTAAACCGCGGCTCAAATTCTTTAAATTCCACCTCCGGACTACTAAAATAAAACGTTTTAATTTTCCTTATTCTTTAGAAGTTTGAAGGCCGATGAAGATTTTGTGGATGTAACCTTGTCATGCGAAGAACACCAATATTCGGCACATAAGGGAATTCTTAATAAACGTACATGGTTGTACAGTACATAATGTACCACAAATGTACATGAGAAAAAAAGAGTATTTAAGATGTGAAAGAAATTAAGAACAGAGAACTAAAGAACTAAGTAAGTTAGACTGGGTAAAGTGAGGAAAGTAAATGGTTAAAAAACTATTGCTGAAAGAACGAAAGCTAACGAAAATGAGAAATAGCAACGAAATAAAAAAATAAAAACTGAAAGAACAGAAAAAAAGGCTAACAGGAATTAAAAAAGGAGCTACGTAATGAAAGAATAGAAATAAGGAGATAAAGCGTTAAAGAATCAAAGAAAGTCAGAAGAAAGATTTAAAAGATGGGGGAGGGAAACCCGAAAAAGGAATTGTAAAAAAGGCAAAAAAAAATGTTTTAAAAGGGTATATACGTTGAAAGAGAGTTAGAGATTAAAAATTTAAAAGGAGTGTAGGAATTGCAGGATAAAAAAACAACAAAAAAATCAAAAAAAAATAAGTAAAAACGAAAGGATGAAAGGAAGAAATTTAAAAAAAGGGCAAACTAAAATAAAATAAGGATGAAAAAGTAGCAATTAAAGGAAGAAATGGAGAAATTGAAAAACTAATTTTTGTATACAGAAAAATTAGTAAGTTTTGTCCTGTAAATTATTAAGTTTTGTCCTCTAGGTTGTCCTGTCAGCATGCAGTCCTTACTTCAGAAAACTTCTAAAGGTAGGACATCAAATTTAATTAAAAGGACAAACAATTTAAATCACAAGGACAAACATACAAATGTAAACAGAGCGGACACAATGTTAGATATTTGAAATATTTTCCCAATATACAATACAATATAATTCATCAAAAGATTACTTTCATTTATTAAACATTTTTATTGTGTATTTAAGGAATCCAACTCTTGGAATAGAAAACAAATAAAGAATGTGATTTTATTTTCCAAAATGTCAACTTTTCATCAATTATTTAAAAATTTATTTCTTTTTCTAACAATTTGTAATCATATTTTTAATTAAGAAACGACAAAAGTTCTTTTCTTGCTGAATTATTGAAAATGAAAATCTTGTATTTCTTGAAAAATCTCAGTTTTAATCAACAATGTTCCCAGTTCATTTATTAAACTCATGCTAAATGTCAGTCCGATCCCTCTAAACCTTGTTAATAATAGATGAAGTGTTTGCATTATCTGCAGGCAATCAATCCTTTTATTACAAGATATTCTCAAGATACTCAACATGTTGATCACACATCTAAAGGAACTGATTACTTGTTTAAAACTAAATTTAAACCTTTTTATCTTACTCGAATAAGTACATGAGTAGACTTTTTAGTAAACTTCAAGTACATACATAGAAGTTGCAGTACTGTAAATGTACATTAGAATTTAATAGATATTGCTAAATAATTTCAAGATCTAGCATTGCTATGAAAGTACATGAGTCCTTGCTTGACTTTAAATACTTGATATTCTTGTAGCAGATTTACGTCTAATTGGATGTAAGTCAAAGAAAATAGTGGCTTTAAAAGTCAATTAAAGCTTGCAAAAAGTTGCGCGAACTGAACACTGCAAATTCCTAAAATAGAGACATTCCTGTGAAAATTCTGGTCATATTGTTGGAAATAATTGCTAAAATTACGAAAAGTACAATTTCTGATTTATCTTTCGTAAAAACGCGTCAATTCTCTATAAAAAGTGCCAAATTGAAGAAAAACTAGTGCAAATTCTAATCAGATTTCATTTTTCGCGCAAAACAGATGCATTTATACACTTCGCCATTTTTCCCGCAATTGCAATTTGCAAATCTTGGAATGCAATCCATACATGCACTAAACTTCTGGAGTTGACAAAAAAAGATTGACATGTAGAAAATAATATTTAGATTAGTAGATTTAGATGTTAGAAGCAATTTTGAAATTACTTTGAAATTTTGAAGTATTAAATACAGTCTCTAAAACGTTGAAACCAAATTCAAGTATTTTGTTTGAAAATGTTTATGTATTGCATTAGTAAAAATAATATGCAAAAAAGCAGATATGTAAAAAGGAGTACTTTTGATTCTGTACAAAGGAGTTCTTTCTAATTCTGTACAAAGGAGTACTTTCCTGCCATATACAAAAGGGAACTTTCAAATTATGTACGAAGGAGTAATTCTTAGTTGTGTACAAAGTAGTAGTTCTAGTTATGTACATAGAGATAAGTCTAGTTATGTACAAAGGATTACATTAACTTATCAACAAAGGAGTTTTTTCAGTTATGTACAAATGAGTATCTTTCAATTATGTACAAAGAACAAATTCTTATCTGCAACAACTTTGTTTTATTTCTCAGCTCTCTATCTGTGATGTATGCGAAGTAAAAAGATTTAATTACTTTTCTTATAATTCTTTGTTCTAGAATTGTTTTATTCTTTTTATATATTTACCCGGTGGTAAAAACTGAACACTTGCTAGCAAGAATGTTTATAGGTGCAGACAGATTCCAGGGGGAGGGGGGTATCCTTTTTTTATAAATCATAATAAACGAAACTTATGGGATAATTAAGGTCATGTAAACAGACAGAAAACAAAGAAAATAATAGATCAAAAACTATTAACAAAAAGCTATACGAAAATTAACAAAATGAATTTAAATATAAGAAAGTATAAAAAAAAAGTCTACCTGACTGAAAAAAGGACAACCTACTACTTTTGTAAATTCCATAAAAAGATGTTCGTACATATACATAGTTAAACTATTGATGAGTACACTAGTTGAACTATTGATGAGTACACTAGTTAAACTATTGATGAGTACACTAGTTGAACTATTGATGAGTACACTAGTTAAACTATTGATGAGTACACTGAAATATTGATGAGTACACTAGTTGATGAGTACACTAGTTGAACTATTGATGAGTACACTAGTTGAACTATTGATGAGTACACTAGTTGAACTATTGATGAGTACACTAGTTAAACTATTGATGAGTACACTGAAATATTGATGAGTACACTAGTTAAACTATTGATGAGTACACTAGTTAAACTATTGATGAGTACACTAGTTGAACTATTGATGAGTACACTGAACTATTGATGAGTACACTTGTCGAACTATTGATGAGTACAGTAGTTAAACTACTGATGAGTACACTAGTTGAACTATTGATGAGTATACTAGTTGAACTATTGATGCGTACACTAGTTGAACTATTGATGAGTACACTAGTTGAACTATTGATGAGTACACTAGTTGATCTATTGATGGGTACACAAGTTGAACTATTGATGAGTACACTATTTGAACTATTGATGGGTACACTAGTTGAACTATTGATGAGTACACTAGTTGAACTATTGATGAGTACACTAGTTGAACTATTGATGGGTACACTAGTTGAACTATTGATGGGTACACTAGTCGAACTATTGATGAGTTCACTAGTTGAACTATTGATGAGTATACTAGTTGAACTATTGATGAGTACACTAGTTGAACTATTGATGAGTACACTAGTTGAACTATTGATGAGTACACTAGTTGAACTATTAATGGGTACACAAGTTGAACTGTTGATGAGTACACTAGTTGAACTATTGATGGGTACACTAGTTGAACTATTGATGAGTACACTAGTTGAACTATTGATGAGTACACTAGTTGAACTATTGGTGAATACACTAGTTGAACTATTGATGAGTACACTAGTTGAACTATTGGTGAGTACACTAGTTGAAATATTGATGAGTACACTAGTTGAACTATTGATGAGTACACTAGTTGAACTATTGATGGGTACACTAGTTGAACTATTGATGGATATACTAGTTGAACTATTGATGGATACACTAGTTGAACTATTGATGAGTACACTAGTTGAACTATTGATGAGTACACTAGTTGAACTATTGATGAGCTGTAAAGAATATGTATTGAATTGCAAGATGAATGTTCCCCTTTATCCTAATGGTCATTTGTTAGCATGTCCAGTCAATGAGATACATTTGTCTCACATTATAGATAGATAGATTGATAGATAGATAGATAGATAGATAGATAGATAGATAGATAGATAGATAGATAGATAGATAGATAGACAGGTAGATAGATAGATAGATAGACAGATAGACACAGAGAGATAGGTAGAAAGACAGATAACAGACAGATAGAAAGACAGATAGAGAGACAAATAGACAGACAAATAGACAGATAGAGAGACAAATAGACAGATAGAGAGACAGATAGAGAGACAGATAGAGAGACAGCTAGACAGATAGACAGATTGACAAATAGACGGATAGACAGATAGACAGATAGACAGATAGACAGATAAACAGATACACAGATGGGCAAATAGACAGATAGACAGATATAGAGCTAGATAGACAGATAGACAGATAGACAGACATTCAATTAGACAGACATTCAAATAGATAGACGGGTGCCAACTTTACTTATACAAGTAAATTTCACATTAGCATGAACATTATGGAGAAGACAGACAAACAGACAGACGCAAAATCAGGGAAACAGACAAACAGACAATTGGAAAATTTAAACATAAACTAACCATGTTTGATTGAATTATAAATTGAAATTAGAGAAAAGCGAACAGTAATCTATTGTATTCTAGTGTATTCTAGTGTATTCTAGTGTATTCTAGTGTTTTCTAGTGTATTCTCGTGTATTCTAGTGTATTCTAGTGTATTCTAGTGTACTCTAGTGTATTCTAGTGTATTCTAGTGTATTCTAGTGTATTTTAGTGTATTCTAATGTATTCTAGTGTATTCTAGTGTATTCTAGTATCCCCGACACAAATCTAACGAATCTACGCTTTTTTATGCAAATAGGAACCATGTCACTCAAACCCAGTCTAGATACGATATTATTTGAAAACTAAATATTGGAATTAATAAAGGAATGAGAAACGAATGTTTTTACCGGGGGGGTCATGTAATCTAAGTTTGAAAT